TGCTTCTTCCTCATGTCTCTTTTTCTACTCAGAACTGGTCTGAAACATAGATAAATTCCTGGCCAAAGCTGGAAAGTGAGGAGAGTGCATGAGGCCAGGGTAACAGCATGGGTCCTCTTGCCCACTAGGGGAAGAAGGATTCTGTGGTTTTGTAGATTCACTTCATCCTTTTCTTCCTAAGGCAGATCTGCCCAGTGACAATTTGTCACCCCACTGACTTCCAACCTAGCTCCCAGTCAGTGCTTGCAGAGCAGCAGTAGCCTGGCCCATTGGCCTGTCATGGCTGGTTATATTGTCATCGCCACATCTGTGTATGACTGTGCAAAGATACCCATGAAGGCTGCAATGCATCCTGGGTTCGGCTCAAACACTGCCCAAGCAGGGTGTGCCCAGAGAAAGAAATACCTCTATTTAGTGCAAAGGCAGAACGTGTACTTGTGCAGCCCTGTTTGCTACTTTATAAGTACATGTATTTCCAGAGGATATCTGAGCATTAGGGGAAGTTTGCTTTTACTTTAAAATCTCCTGGATGAAATGAAATCGGTGGGCCAATTTTAAGAAGGCCATACTGGAGAGCACGGTGTGGGAGGAGCAGCATTCATCTTGTTACACTCAGAGGCCTTCATTCATCACTCTCATTCTATACCTCAATTTCTCTCCAAGACAGCAACAATTTTTAGATACTTAAAATACTTACCTTTTATACTGTGCTTACTACAATTGACTAAACATATAATCAACTGTCAGTAGAAATAGCTATAGGTAGAAAATTCAACGTTAACTCTGATTTTTTTACAAATCTATACGAGAGGACTTCAAAGAGTTTGTGAAAAAATAAAATTAAAGTACAAGTTTATTTTGGTACTTTTTTTTAAAAATCCACACATAGTTCTTTCTTAACGTGCATCTTCTAAGAACTTTTTGAAGCCCCTTCATACACATTATGGTTAACTATAAAAAATTATGTGGGCCAGCAGGTGGCATGGTGGTAAAGGTGCTGGATTCCACCTAGCTGACTCCGTGGTTTGAGTCCAGGAACCTGTGGTTTAAAAACCATGCCAGGTGCATGTAAGTGCAAGCTCAAAATCCTGAGAGGAAAATGGAGAAGAAGAGATTGTAGCATGCCATCCCCTACGGAGGATCATTTCTTACTTTTCTCTCTCTCCGTCTCTGTCTTTTTCCAGTAAGCACATGTACTCGCTGGCAAAAATTTTAAAAAATAAAGAAAGCTAAAAATCAGTGAATATATCCAAGTAGTAAGTAAGAAACTGAAGAATTACATTTTTATTTATGTTCGCATATTCCAAACTCTTTGCTTTATGATAATTAAATTCCATAGTAAGAGAAAGCAGGTTTTGATATTTCCCAAGCAAATGCTATAACTTCATCTTTTTGCCATTATCTGTCTTTACCTCAAAGGAAAAACAGATTTATTATATGGTCATTTTGATGTTTAACAAACCAGATGTCATTGAATATTGTCTGAGAAGGACTATACATAACGACTTCTGCTCCGCAGCAAAGACCAGTCATATAGACAGTACAGCTGCAACAGCTACAAACCCTCGCGGGCCAGTGTTGGAAAGGCACAGCTTTCAGGTTGAGAAAACCGTCAAAATACAGGCGTACACCACATAGTGAAGTTCTGTCAACAAGGACTGCATATAGGATAGTGGTCCCATATAGCCTAGGTGTGTAGTCGGCGATTCATCCGTTTCTGCAAGTACACTCTACAATGTTTGTACAATGAGAATTGCCTAATGTCACATTTCTCAGAGCATATCTCTGTCGTTTGGCAACACATGATTGTAGTTTACTCTCTAAACTGTCCAAACACTTCCCTGCATCCTTCAACAAAATATAATAAACATGACCTAAACTTTTCTTAATGACATAGGACATTCAACAAGGATAATAGATTTAAAATGAGGAAAACTAGGTTTGACTAAAATGAGAAAACATACTGGGAGAATGACCTTTGTCAATTCACCTCACCTCCCAGGATTTGTCATCTGGGGATTACCATATTCCTCGGAACTGTTTTAAAGATTAGGTTAAACACATACAGAATGCCTGGAGCTGCTCGCTAGTTTTTTCAGAAGGGATGTTATGAAATATCAGCCCCCATTCATGCCCTGGCAATACACGATTTGAACAGATGAGCTGCCTCTGTATACCACGGGCTTGTCACCCTTCTGTAGATACACAGTCAAAAATGGGTCTCTGGTAGCTGGACAGAACAGCTCCAACTCTAGGTCTTGTCCTAGATCTTGCCTTTTTCTCTCTTTTTTCAAGTGCTGGAGGATACATGTGCTCACCAGAAGGAGACAGAGAGAGAGAGACAGAGGGAAAGTGAGAAAGCACCCCCAATGGGGAAAGGCCATGACACAGTCCCTTCTCCTCTATTTCTCCTCTTGGGATCTTGGGCATGTGTGCACATGCACCCAGTTTGTCTTTCAATCCATCTGGTCTGAGACTTGAATCACGCAGTCAGCCATATGGTAACCAGCTGCCTTAACCACCACGCCCTAAGCTAGCCTTCTGCTTTTTTCCAAAGGCACTTATATTAGCTATACAGACATATTTTTTTCTTCACGTTTAGCTTCCTTTTCTTTATTAAAGTGGTATTTGAGGATGTGAGGCATAGGATTGCTGGGCACAGGATATGGCTACCCTTCTGTAAAATTCTTCTTTCCAAATAGTTTTCTTACCTGTGAAAACTGTCAGGTCCCCTTGTGCTATCTTCAGTTTATGTTTCATAATGATCCTTTGTGTCACAAGTCATGCATACGTGTGTTTGTGTGGGTACACACACACACACAGATATGAGAGAAACAAAGAGACATACACACACACAAAAAGAGTAACAAACACACACACACCACATATATATAACAAACTTAGCTATTCTGAAAGAAACCACAAGGCAATCAAGGCAAACAATAAGCAGCTACCTATATTTGCACATGTATTTTAACTCAGCTTTCACAGCGATTTTTGTGCCCTTGAGTTTACCAATAGTTTAAACATGCCTTACTGTCTATACTTGCTAAGATGAAAGTATTTAGCTGTTAATGCAGCTGGGTACAGAAATCACTCACTTGTTAGTTATCAAAACACCAATATTACTCTCTCATCCCCCTTGCACACCAGTAAAGTGTGAGCTATGGATTATCAATCTTACTTTATAGATGAGCAAATTCGGGTGCAACTACAGTTTGGATGCAAAGAGTGAAACACACAAGATGAAATTTAGAGCTGATAACTCTCTTTAGATCCATAAACCAGAAGTGTGCGACAGATGTGTTAGGCAACTCTGTGAGCAATAACTGTCTGCCTTAATTTCCGAGGGCATGAGATGGGACTGGCTTGGATTCTGTAATCCAGAACCTTTCCTTTCCTATGTAACCTCTTACTTGATGGATGATTTTCCCCCCTTTTTCCTTATAATTTTCATTCCAGCTGCCAGAGTTGCCTCAATTATTCTACGACAGATAGTTCAAACTCTACTAGTCCAGAAAAAAGAGTGGACAATATCAGATGTTTTAATAAGCTTTTAAAGGAAAGTTAGTGAAATGATAAATTCTAATATAGTCAAGACTCAAATATGGGGTCGTTGGAAAAGTCTTGATTGAGATAGAAAAGCATTTTTCTATCTTTTTTTTTCCTATGCAAAAACATGTCATGACTTTTCTAACGACCCCATACTTCCTTCTCTGTGAAATTCTGTACTGGTGGTCACACTTGGCCACACCTTCCCTCCCCCCTAAGTTTTCTTTTGCTTCTCTTGAAACTCCCATCCCAGTGAGGTTATGGGATTATGTTTCTGTGTCTCTCTTTGAGCATGATGTGAGCCTGTCAAGGGAAGAGGCCTTTATTTTAGCACAGAAGGCAAACCCAAGTTGGATAAAATGGAATTAAAAAGTGAAATTTTATAAGAGGATAAACACCCAGTCTGTGTCTGGATTGAAGGATTTGAGTAGTTCTCAAATGTAAACGGATATCCTCTGGAGATCCCTACAAATCCTGTAACAGTTTTAGTGGTGAACAAATTAGGATTCCAAACCATCACACTCTAACCTAAATGCCTTAGCCTTGACCCAGAGATACACCTAGAGAACAAGGTCCATGATGCTGCATGTTGTTTTTTGAGGCTTTAAATTTATTTGTCTTGCTTTTAAGACAACAGAGCTAGAACTGAGCCACTGAGTTTCAGTGATAATGATGAGAATCATCATCATACAAACTCTTTCCTTTGGGATGGTTCATTAGGATATTTTAAAAATTATACCAGGCCAGCCAGTGGCATGGTGGTTGAGGTGGCTGGATCCCACGACCTACTGCACAGTTTGAATCCAGGACCCAGCAGTTTGGGTATGTGTGCATGCATGACCAGATCCCAGAAGGAGAAATTGCAGCATGACCACCCCCCACAGGAGGTGCTTTCTCACTTTCCTTCTCTCTCTCTCTCTCTCTCTCTCTGGCTCTATGTGGTTCTCTCTGGCAAGCACACACACCCTCTAACAAATTTATACCAGAAAACACCAAATTAAGATTTTGATACTATGTTCACTGGATCATATTAAAAATCAAAGTGTAGGCCAGCAGGTGGCATGGAGGTTAAGGTGTTGGATGACTGACTAAGCCATGCAAATCTGGGACCTGGCAACTTGACAATCATGCCAGGTGCATGTGTCTTCAAAATCCCAAGAGGAGACTGGGAAAGAAGGGACTGCAGTGTGGCCATCTCCCCCCCCCCAGCCCCGGCCCCTGCCACTCTAGCAAGCACATGTACCCTATAGCAAAACCAAAATAAAATGGTATTTTTTTTAGCTTTCCATTCCTTTATTTATAAAATTAAGATGTAAAATATGTTTTAACATTGAAATGAGTAGCACAAAAAATAAATAAATAACTGAAGTTCATTATCTCGAGGATAATCTCCTCTGGCTAGGTACAGTTAAAATTTTAAGTCTCTCAGATCACATTAGGTTCCATACCTGTCCTGTATATGCAAATTCCAGAGCCTGTTTTAAGCCAAGGCTGGTCACACCATGTAAATTCACCTCATCTGCTCCACTTTCCACCATACAAAGACTGAACATAGCCTGGTGAGGAAAGAAAGACAGAATTATGTGACTTAAAAAAAGCAAGGTTAAAAAAGTCCTAGAGAGACTAAGAAAAGTTTTACAAGGTAAATGCTGACTTTGATTTTGAGATGTTCTACAAAGCTTCGTTCACATAAGCCCCAGTCATGTGAGGTCTGAACAGTTACAGTACCAATGCATGGAGTACCCCCTTCCCAGGAGTCTTGTTTGAAGTGACTGTGTTTAGGCTCACCAAAATCATTCTCTCCATCTGGGGTCTCATGCTACCATGGAATGTGCAACGAGCCTTAGTAGTCTGTCCAATAGGCCACAAGGGTGGCACCTTTGTCTCCTGACTTCGCTGCCTTTTTTCTGCTTCATTCCAATGACATATCTTGTTCCTCTTATCTGCCATGTGTCACGCACTCCATTCCAGTGGTTCTCAAAGTGTGGCTCTTGGACCAGCACTATCTACACCACCAGGAATTCATTCGAGTATAGATTCTCCATCTTAAATCTACTGAATCAGAAATTCCAAGTGAGGCCCAACAATCCATGACCTCCAGGTAACTCTGGTGTTCACTCAGATTCGAGAACCACTGTGTGAGTTAAAGTTTTTCAGTGCAAATCAGGCTGGCCTCAAATCAGTTCTCCTAATGATCAAGTTACTGAGAATCAGTTTTTTGACAAAAGATCAGTATGGCTAAAAAAAACTTGAAATTTTCAAAATGAAAACTTGCCAGGGCCAGCAGATGGTGTACCAGTTACGTCACTGGACTCCCTCATGGCCAATTGCAGTTCAAATCCTGGACCTGGTGGCTTAAAACTCACATCAGGAGCATGTGCATGCATTCCCAAGATGCTGGGAGTGGAATGGAAGAGAAGGGAATCATGGCATGGCCATCCTGGAGATTGTGATTTCTCACTTTTGCTCTCACTGTCTCTGTCTCTGTCTCTGTCTCTCTGATGAGTACATGTACCCTAAGGCAAAAACCTCTAAAAAGAAAATAAAAACTTCTCAAATAAAATAAACGCATGTGTTTTCTTTCTTTCTTTTTTTTTTTTTGGAGAGGTTTTTGCTATAGGGCGCGTGCGTTCACCAGACAGACAGAGAGAGACAGAGAGACAGAAAGTGAGAAATCACCCCCTGGGGGGATGGCCACGCCACAATCCCTTCTCCTCCCTTCTCCTCTTGGGATCTTGGACACGCACACACACGTGCCCGGCATGAGTTTAAGCCACCGGGTCCGGGACTTGAACTGCGATCGACTACATGGGAGTCCAGCGACATAGCCATTACACTAACTGCTGGACCCTGCATGTGTTTTCTGAAACAAACCAAAAAAAAAAGTTCATATTAATTTTTACACATTTATCAAATTCAACGTAACAAGTATAAAGTTATTTATTGGTGATGAAATGCAACTATTTGTTAAAGTATTCTTCTGTGTAGTAAAGACTTAACCTTCCCCAAGAGAGGCCTGGCCTTTGCTCTTGGCTTCTAGGTCATCTCTAGGCCCTCAGAATGCCTAATAGGAGTGTTTTGTGTACTGGACACCTTGGCCACCAACAGTCTAATTGTGGTTTGTGACAAGTCTCCCAAGTTGTATTGCACATGATGTGATGGCCACCTGCTCTCCCGCAGACTCATAATGGCCCAGAGCAGGATAGAAATGGCTCAAACTGCACAAGAATTTTCTGGATAATGAAATGAGAAAGGTTCCTGAGAGCAAAAACAGAACAAGCTGTCAAGAGAGTTGTTTGTTTTTGAGAGATTTTTGTATAGGGCACATGCACTCGCCAAAGAGACAGAGACAGAAGGCAAGAAATCACGTGCTGGGGCAATGAACATGCCACAACCCCTTCTCCTCAGTTCTCTCAGGACTTTGGGTACGTATGCACATGCACCCAGTGTGAGTGTCAAGCCTCCGGGTCCAGGACCCAAACCACGATTGGCCATGTGGGACTCTAGCAACGTAACCGTTATGCCATCTGCTGGTCCCAAGAGATTTTTTTCTTTTTTCTAATCTGCTTTCCTAGCGTCTTACAAAAGTAATACTAAATACAAATGAGGGATCCTCAATCAGAGGACTGTGAGCCACTAAACTGGAAACTTGACTTAGCAGAACTGAGGAGAGAGCATGTTGCTTAAATAATGTACATCTATACTTACGCATGTTTGTATAAGTAATAAAAGAGCATCACAATTATTACTGTTTTATACCAATAGAATTAAATAAGTTTATTAATATTATGAGGTTATAGAACATAATAATAGAGGGAAAGAAGAGACTTAATTTTATTCATTTACACTAGTATTAGATAATTAAAATGGACGTGTGATTGGTATATTTCAAGCAACTGCAATTTAAATTTTTTGTTATATTTGAAATATTCAGTACTGTACAGGAAGAAATCAATATTCAAAGCAATCTATTGGACATGTGGGCAAATTACCTTGAACACGACAAGTGACCTATGACTAACTGTTCACTTCTCTGAGCCTCATGTCCCTTATCTGCAGAATGGGACTTACCCCAACCTCACAAATTTGTCTTAAGGTTTAGATACAAACATGGTTAATGTCAAGCATAATACCTGGCACACAGATTTCAATAACTAGAAACTGTTTTTTAATATTCCAAGTTGATATCCTACTCTCAAATGTCTCTCTGATTCCAATTGGAAAGATCTCCTGCCTGGATTCAAACTTTTCAATTACTTTTCTGGCAATGTCACTCAAATTTCCTATCATTACCTGCTAGACTTAACTTTTGCTGCATACTCTGTGCTTTGCCAGGTTCTTTCCACCTCCAAAGAATGGGTCAAACACAGATGCAGAGAGTTGGAAAAAGACACAAGACATTGATTTCATATTCTTTTTTTGAGAGTTTTTTTTTTTTTCCTGTTATAGGCCATGTGTACTTGCTGGAGTGACAGAAAGAGAGAGAGAAAGAGAGAGAGAGAGAGATCGCTCCCCTGGGGGTTGGTAATACCACAGTCCCTTCTCCATTCTCCTCTCAGGATTTTGGGGATGCATGTACACACACTCAGTGTGAGTTTCAAGCCACCAGGTCTAGGACTTGAACCACAGTCAACTCTGTGGGAGTCCAGTGACGTAACAATTATATCATCTGCTGGTCCCTGTTGTTATGTTCTTCATTGACTGAGTTTGGTGAGAGCTCACAGAGCTCCGGTAGCACTCACAGAGCGCTTCCTCCACCTTGGAGCTTATAACATGCATGAGGAGCCCTTGCAAGCGCTTCTTCCTTCTTGGCACCCACAGGATAGAGCATAGCTGAGCCATGGCCAAGCCAAGCCAGGGCACTGAGGACTGACTTAGCAGAAACAAGGCCAAGATGAGCAGAACTAGCCAGCAGGGCAGAGCTAGCTGACCAGGTGCTCCCTTTCTCTTAAAGAGGATGCAGACAATCATAGCTCACTGCCGAAACCAGACTGTCTCACACACACAGACACACACACACACACACACACACATACAGTACATGAATGGTAAAAAATAGCAAAGTCATAATTACATAACAAGCATGCAAGTGCAGTACAACTAATAACGTAAGTTGTTTATCCTGTGACCTTCAACCATGATAAGATTGGAGGTGAGGAAGTCAGACTAAACTATCCTGACTCCATTTGCAATACTCTCCTACACTCATACTTTATAGAATGACCTCATCATATAAATTGCCATCACTTCTATAAATGTGAAACTTCCATTTGTACATCATATCATATTGTCTTGAAATTTTAATATTACAAACTAAATGCTCATTGTGATTTTTTAAAAAATAGACAATTGCTTAACGTACAGATAAAAAAGGGAGTCATTAAATCAAGGCCTTGGGTTTAACAGATTTACAAGGCACTGCAATTATGAAAAGCCTCATTAGATACCACTAATGCTAGGAAGAACCTGGCCATCTGGCACAGTAAGACTTCAGCACCCAGGTTGCCTGATCTTACAAATAGTGTCTGGAGACCTGGTGGCGTGCACAGGAAGGACAAAGCCTCTTTTGGTACCAGAAGTGGTGATGAGACCAACAGTGCTATCTCCTAGCATCACATTTCTTAGAAAAGTAAACTGTAAATTCTTTAAATGTAGGCACCATCTCTTCTTTACTCACTGTGGTGCCCCTAGACCTCGGTACGCATATATGCAATACTAGTGAATGAATTAATGAATGGACCAACATGCTCTTCAAAAATCTCAACTGCAGACAATGTCCTGACATTCTACAGTGTCACAAACGTTAAGAATGTGTTCTATATAGGAAAACATGTTTCTGTATGGAAGTGTTGTAGATAGTGGAATATAAAATTGTAGTTAAAGTCAAAGAGAAAGAGCATCTACCATAAGCTAAACACTTCAAAAACATAAGTGAGTTCAAAACTAGACACTTAGAAAAAGAAAAGAACATATGGCAATGTCCTCTATCAAGCCACAAGTCTGCCAAAGCACGGGATAAGGTTCTGCTTAGAAATACTAAAGCACTGCACAGATTCTTGCTTGGTTCACACTGTGTTGTGTTGGGGAAAGCCTCAGCCAGGCTGAGATTTACAGTCATCACTGCTCACTCTTGGCTGATAACGTGCTGCCGCCACCACAAATCTTTCTAATTGAAAACCCAGTTTGTGAGAATAGAATCTGCACTAAGTGCTTACCACAGGGGAAGCTGTGGATTTATGGTGTGTTGTTCTCTCTTTATTTCACACAGAAATGACACCAATTGAGTTCTAAAATCACAGCCCATGAATTAAGCTTCCTTGGGTCACGTTAGTTGTCAAGCATTCACAAGATGAGCTACAACCACATTTTAGGTTGGTGAATTATGCCAGAAAACGGACCGACAGAAATTCTACTACCTCTTCGAAATAAGATGGCAGATCACAGACTTTTTTAAGCCCTCAAAGTTGATGACATATGATCTTTTACCTGGTGGACAATGTGCAATTTTGGAGTTATACTGGCACAAACAAGATGAACTGTGAATTCCCATTTTATT